TGGAGGGGTCCTGGTAGTAGAACTTCTTGCAGTCCTGACAGTTGACGCCCCTGGTGTTGTGCATACAGTTGTCACAAACACCTCCGCTTACCTCCCCTGATGCGGTGAACTTGGCTGCGTCAAAGTGACACTGCGAGGCATGGTTGTTGCAGTTACACCCTGTAAAGAAGTGAGAGCAAGAGAAGTTCAAGTTAGAGAGTTGTCCTTATTGATGTTTTACACCCGAAGCCACACAATTTGTGAGGCGTCATGGTGAAATCAGGCACTCGTCAAAATGATGAAATCGAAGAAAACAGCACTTTTCCACAGGTTAAGCAATTTTGATCAAATTTTATATTTTGGGCTCACCCTATTTTATGTCCATTTAAAAACATATTTCTGAGTGGATATTACTGAAAAAATTTAATCAAAGGCAAAATATAAATTTTCAGTTTCCAAGGACTCTCAAGCTATGAAAGTCGCCAAAATATGGCGGCCATTCGATCCCTGATTTTACAGCTGGAACCAAGCGACCCCCACCTCCTTCAATCACAAATATTTCGACTTCTATTCAAGGTACATAGATATTTTTTCATTACAAGTAAGACAAAAGAACAAGCTTTAAGACGATACCAATAACTCCCATGCGCAAAAATTGACGAGTGCCTGATTGAACCGTGTCATGACGCATCTATATATCAGTAAGTCGAAGACAATAATAACAATTATTTCGTAGCCAGAAAGGAAAGACAATAGCATGGCATGAGTTTGAAGTCTTTTTCAACACTGTACGGTTATTCAAACGTTTTCCAATGTCTGAGGACTCAATAATTGTGGGAACAAATCTGTTAAACCCTTTCTTTAAACATAATTCGTCTTTTCCTGATTGTTTTTTTACAATGAGCGTCCTATGTGGGTTTCATCGAGTACTACCTCATTTGATTTCTTTTCCTTCCACGATTTTCTTAGCAGTCACCTCAGAAACCACATTTCTGTTGCTTCTATTTTATTTTCACTGTCTTTAGTGATTGTACAGCATTCACAGCCAAATAGAAGAGTTGGCATACATGGCATTTCAGAAACTTCATTTTGGTAGTCATTGATATGTTTCTATTTTTCAGGATTGGGAAAAAAATGTTTGAATAAATACAAAAATTCTTCCCACCCCACTGTCTTTTCACCACAAAATCTAGTGTCTATCAACAAAAATCTGTTCACACAGTCAAACTTACAAACAGTCAAACTTACTTTTACAGACATTGGGCTGGTTCGGCCGGGCTGGTCTCCATGGATGATCGTGGTAGAAGTCCTCGCACATCTCACAGTTCCTGCCCTTGGTGTTGTGGGTACACTCGCACTGGCCATGCACCTAGGGGACAAAACATGACTCCGTAGTTTTAGTTTTAGTAAGAGTTTTGTTTCAGTAAGAGTATTACGGCACTTGCAACACAATAAGGTCATATAAGTGCTGAAAATTAGAGGTGTTACAAGAGAGTAACAAACACAAAAAAGAAGGAGGGGAGATAAAGACGATAGATGTTTGATAGGAAAGAAGGAGCAAACCACACCATAGCACCCATCAACCACCCACATGGCACTTGCAATATAAATTGGTCATATAAGTGCCAAATATTAGCGCGTTACAAGATAGTAACATACAAAGAAAAGAAAGTTTGTTTGTTTGTTTGAGTAAAGAGAAGCACATCGCACAATTTTGGTCATTTAGTGCTTGGAAGAAAGACAGACACACCGGAAAAAAAAAGGAAAAGTAAAGAAAAAGAGCTTTAAAACAGTGGTGCCCTTCAACCATCTGCAAAAAAGGAGGACACACACACACACACAATACTTTAAAAAAAAAAACAACCCACACACACACATGCACGCAGACAGACAGACAGGGACAGATGGACAGACAGACAGACAGACACACAAACAGACACAGACAGAAAGACAGACAGACAGACGGATAGACAGACAGACAGACAGACAGACAGACAGACACACACACACACACACACACACACAGACAGCTCATCAGACCTACCATTGCTCTAGAGGTCTCCTGACTGCGGTTGTACCCGGGAACGGGCAGACATCTGGAAGCGTGACCATAGCAGGAACAGCTGCCTCTGACCGTCAC